TAAGTTCAATTGAGAAAATAAAAAAGGTTGAGAATGGGGGAATCATTCTCAGCCACTCATTTAATCTAAGCATAAAAGACACGGTGGCAAACTTGTAAATATGATAATAACCTTCAATCTCAAATACGTAACATCGATTTCTTTGTTGAATACTCCGAATTTGAATTTCCCAGATTCGCAAACAAACTCAGTTGGAATCGGAATTTCTTTGTTGTTCATGAAATTGGAATTGGAGTTCTGGACTCGCAGTCACAGTCGACATTGAAGGACTCGGAATCGGTACTCACAGGTTCCTAATCGGATTTTCGGAAATCAAAATCAAAATGTGAAATCGATCAGACATAGGATGTCGCATCTGAAGTCGGAAGCTTTTGAAATTGGAACATATATTCTAATCGGAACAGTTCGCGTCTTGATTATTAGTATTACAAAGAAATCTGGAATCGGGATTTCAAGGTTTCAAAATTGAAATCAGATTTTTTTTTGGAATGAAATGAAAATCGGAATTGCACGCTTCAAAGTCGAAATCGGAAGTATATGATGATTTGGAATTGATAACTTGAATTGGAAGTATCATGTTTTTAACATTTTTAAAAAAGTTAACTTGTATGCACTCCAACTGTTTGATGAAATGCATAAACTAAATTACCACGTTATATTCACATATGAATATGTTTTCCGACCTGAATCAGTATATGATTATTAAAAAAAAAAACAAATATGCAAGTCTGTATGTTATTCATATGTGAATAACGTATAAAAAATTATATATATTTGTGAAAACACATTGTAATATTCATATGTGAATATACTGTGTAATATTCATAAGTGAATATATCATATTATATTCACAAGTGAATATACTATGTAAAATTCACATGTGATATACCATGTAATACTTTCACATATGAAAATATCATATAATATTCATAAGTGAATATACCATCTAATATTCACAAGTGAATATACTATGTAATATTCACAATTGAATGCATCGTCTAATATTTAAATATGAATATACTATGTTTATTATATGCTATATTCATATATGAATGATATTTAAATTATAAAAAAATTAATCATACTTTTTTATTCATAAGTGATAATTTATTTTTTTCGGAAAAAAAAACATTGTTTTGAGGTCCTAAGCAAGTTTGTAATTCATATGTGAATAACATATAAGAATTATATCCGCATGTGAACATATGTAATATTCACAAATGAATATATATGTAATAATCAAATGTGAATATATATGTATTATTCACAAATGAATAAAACTGTCAATAAAACCGAGGACTACAAAATATATAAAAATTAAAGATAAAAAAAGTATTTGATAAGAATATATATTTATTCACATACAACTAATCTTTTTAGGTTAATAAAATAATTATATAAGCATATATATTTTTATTAATGTTATATTCATTTGTGAATAAATGATAACTTTTTTTTCGGAAAATTATAAAAATAGAAAAACGTCATTTTGAGGCCCTAAACAGTCCCGAATGGCCGAAAAACAGTCCCGAATCGCACCATTTTACATCAAATATGCGAATTTCGTCCAATTCCGAGACTAAACTTCATTGCGGCAAATTGTTTTGATGATGTCACTAAATTTTCATTCCTACTAGTGATGACATCATCATGACATGCTATTTATTCATATATGAATAAAGTTTAGAAATCATTACGACATATTTATTGATGATGTTACTAACTTCAATCACACTAGTAAAAAAACATCATTGTAATCTGTTATTTTTATTTATGTGAATAAACTATACATGTTGATTTATTTATTTTGTGAATACAACCTCTATATATAAAAATAAATAATACACTATAAGAATTGGTTTGTGAATAGTTTTTTTGTATATTGTAACAATATTATTTTACATGTAAAATCAACATTATACTAAGACAAACAACATTGTATTGGTTAATGAATATCATTTGCATTTGAATTTAACACGATCAAAATGAAGAATATATTAAATTGTATAACATTTACACGTGAATATAAAAACATATTGTCTTCGTCAATGATATCTTCTCAATTACGTCAACCAATCGTCAACCACCGGGATATGAACCAACCATTGATTGAAATGTTATTCTTTTATTGAGTTATAACGATGCCTGAAAAACATGTGAGTACACATAAAAAATGTTAAAAATATACTTTTAGTTCATAATAATAGCGATTTATCACATTCTAATTATCATATGGTATATTCACACATGAATGTATAATCATATGTAAATATTATATGATATATGTTGTTTATATTGTATATTTACATGTGATATTACATGGTATATTCACAAATGAATATTACATAGTATATTCACATATGAATATCATATGGTAGATTCACATGTGAATATTATATTGTATATTTACTTGTGAATATTACACATTCTAGTCACATCTAAATATTGCATGCTATATTCATTCATGAATATTACACAGTATATTCACATATGAATAATATATAGTATATACACTTGTGAATATGATACAATATATTCATATTTAAATATTAAATGATGCATTCACTTGTGAATATTACATAGTATTTTCACTTGTAAGTATTAGATGATATATTCACTTATGAATATTAGATGATATATTCATATGTGAATATTACACAGTTTATTTACATATGAATATTACACAGGATATTAATATATGAATATTACAAGGTATATTCACAAATATATATAATTTTTATATGTTATTCACATATGAATAACATATAAAATTGTATATTTGTTTTGTGTTTTAATAATCATATACTGATTAAGGTGCGAAAACATATTCATATGTGAATATAACGTGGTAATTTAGTTTATGCATTTCATCAAACAGTTGGAGTGCATACAAGTAAGTTTTTTTAAAAATGCTAAAAACATGATACTTTGACTATTTAAAACTTACAAAATAGTAGATTGATAGAGAATTATATGAAATTTTTCAAAAAAAAATGATTTGACGTTTTTCTAACCTTAATTTAGAAGTTTTGTTTGATGATCGATGTTGAATGAATGATATGAAGTAAAATTGTTGTTGATTATCGATGATGTTGATCTAATGACACTGGGAGTATAATTAATCGTAGATGTTGAAGATATGCTCGAATTCAAGCATAATTGAAGGTTGGATTGAAAGAACCAAAAACGATTTTTTTTGTCTACTGTTGAATGATGTTGATGAACGTGTTTTTGACGAAGATGGATGATTGATTAACACTGGATGATGTTATCGATGATTTAATTGAAGAAATCTCGATGATCGTTGAAGGTTGGAAAAGAAATTTGGATGATGGACGATCGAGTAGTAATGAATTTGAATTGTTATCAAATTATCCACAATTATGTATCTGTGATTGAAGGATAACATATCATATTTACAATTTTGCCACCGTGTATTTTATGTTAAGATGCTAATTAAATGATTGGCTGAGAATGATTCCCCCATTCTCAACCTTTTTTTTCTCAATTGAACCCTCCCCTCTCTCTCTCTCTCTCTATATATATATATATATATATATATATATATATATATATATATATATATATATATATATATATATATATATAATCTTAAATTTGTGTGGATAGGTCCCGTTGCATCTTTATGGCTACGCCACTTTTCCAAAACATCCTTAAGCACTTTCAATCCATCTTGCATCAATACCAAAGCCTCATTCATTAAGATTGAAGAATTCCTTCAAGTCATTTTTGTAATCATATTCATCATCAACATCCAAAGAATGGACAAGCTCAAAGGGGGGAGGAGAGAGGGGGGCAAGAACCATGTTTTCAAAGAAGTGGCGGTCCGAATCTCATATTCGTACACCCTATGCCTGATTTCGCAACTTTAACCCTTTCCCGTTGTAATTGCGCTTTATTGGCTTCTTTTCAGGCTTGAACAAGCAAGTACGCAAACAACCTTCGGTTCCTAACAAGCTAAGCACCTACCCCGCTGGCCTGGGGAACTACGAACTACTAGTTTAGCCTATCTAGCCTAACTAGCTTGTTAAAACAACCTGATCGGGAGCTCTACCACTCTTGTAGATCACTGAACTATGCGTCTATGTTTGCAGCTTATACAATCATGATTCATGAACAACTAGTTCCTCTCGTGATCGCAACCAGCTGGGAGTATGTTTTGATTTCTTTTCTTGTATTGTATTTGGGTTTGAACGTTTTAGATTTATAAAAAATGTATTTGGATTCTTTTTCTTTTAATCTTATGAATGTTTTCTGTTACATTGTTTACTTAATTGATTGATTTAAGTGTAAGACGATTTTATTGTTGTTTTTCCCAGTGTCAAAACACTAAAAGTGGTGTAGAATTCTCTACTGCGGTTTCAAAATTGTCAAAACCTAAAAATATTCATACTTTTTGCATTTAGTTATTGTTTGGTACATTTTTACGCGTTTATTCCTGGTTTTCTTTGCAGTTTTGGACATGTTCTACTCCAAAACATTCGTGGGCTTATTAATATACGGGGCTGTTATTCATTGATATCGTGACTTAAGGGACTAAATGTGTAAGGTTGTATATATATAAAGAGGGGCGGGGGGTAAAGACGCCAGTCCGAGTTCTTCCCTCGAACACAACCCCTTTCCTCGTTTTAACCGCCATGCCAAATTCCGGCAAAACTCTCGATCATTCTCTGATAAAGATTCTCGAACTGAGGCTCTAGAGTTCGTTAATGCACAATATATCAACAATCTCCTTACTCCGATCAAAAGTTAGCCTCTCTCTATTTTTCTCGTATGTTTTTATATGTGAATGTCTTATAAGATCAATTGTGAAGATCTTATGTGTGGATAACGCATTAAAATCAATCTTGTTTATCATACTTATATAATTAATCGACTGACTTCATGGCGTCTTTTACTGATTGTGTTATTTACATTTAGTTTCCCAGAAATTTTAGGACAAGTGAATTCAAGAAACTATCAAGCTGTTTGCCAGATCAATGACTCTTCATAAGTTTATTCGCTGTAAGCTGAAGGTAATTTGTACCCATTTTTCTCAAAAAGTGCCTGGTTTGGCCATTAAAGTAATGAAAAGTTCCTAGTTAATTTAAGCCATTATGATCTAGTTGAATTGCTTTTTTTTAATGAATTCAGTTTCTTTGATCATGAAGATGCTAATAATTGACATCATTTTGCATGTAGTCTGTGTTTCGGAAAACAGACAAAGGCCACGAACAACATGAAAGTGGTGATATGGTTGATGATATCAGCAATTTACCTGATTGTATTCTTCATCAAATTCTATCTTTTATGCCCACAAAAGAAGTTGTAAAGACGTCCATATTGTCTACAAGATGGAAGAACCTCTGGGCTTCTGTACCTAACATTGATTTTGATGATGGATTGTTGTATGCTAGAACAGTTGATGGTCGGTGTAGGCCTGAGGTGTCTTCCTTCATAAACTTTGTAGAAAGAGTCCTCGCGTTGCGGGATCCATCAAATATGGAAAAATTCCATCTATCATGTTTTGTTTGCAACAATGCATCTAAAATACATTCATGGATTTCTTATGCAATCATGCACAACGTTCAGGAGCTTGATTTATGTCTCTTTGGAGAGGACCCATTTGTGATTCCTCAGTGTATGCTTGATAGCACACCATTGGTAAGCCTGAAAATAAGAATGGATTGTGTTATTGAACTCCCATCTTACGTTTCTTTTCCATTCCTGAAACCTTGCACCTATCTTTAGTTCGGTTCCCAGAGGATTCCTTTACTGAAAAACTTTTCTCAGGCTGTCCATTTCTAGAAGAATTGGTTTTATTAGATTGCTACTTGGTGAACTTGAATAACATTGTGATTTCTAGTTCCACCTTAAAGAGCTTGACCATACATGATCTGCCATATTTTGGAGAATTCGACGAGACTAGTGGCTGTAATATCAAGATCGATGCAGTCAATCTTACATATTTTAAATATTTTGGAAACCTATTAAACGATATTCTATTGGATAATGCCTTATCCCTGGTCAATGCATGCATTCACATTCCTATTCCCCAAGAGAGGGAAACAGAAGTCACATATCGAGCTATTGATCTACTCAAACAACTACGATATGTTGTGTCTTTGAGGATATCTAATCGCATTATAGAGGTAATTGGCAATCTAATCTACTTCTCGAATGAAACATATTGCTACTCACCTCTTTGTGCAATGTTGTCATACTGACTTTTGTGTTTGCATGTTTTCTTTCCTATGCAAAGTCTCTTATATTTGCAGATAACATGGTCCACTATTCTCCGGTTTTTTCAAATTTGAGGCATTTAGTGTTGACTATGGAAAGTGGGAAATATCCATTTGGAGGTCTGATGGATCTGCTTTACTTCTGTCCAATTCTACAATCTATTTGTCTTCTGGAGGTGGATTACTTGATACTCAAAATCGAAACCTGTTGCCAAAGATGATGATATTAACGTAATTGTTTTCTAACTGGTGTACAGGGATTCGAGCACCACATGTGCCTTGGTGAAAATGATCCAATTTTGATATTAGTACCTATATGCATGTTGAGTTGCCTCAAAATAGTGACTTTCAAGAACTTTCATGCTAATGATTCAGAACTATATTTCCTCAAATGCATTTTGAAGTATGCATGTGTTTTGGAGAGGATGGACATCGTGTGGTCCAAGACTCGGCTACCAGATCTGAAGAAGCAAACACAAGCCAGGACAGAATTAGAAACAATCAAAAGGAGCTCTACAGCCTGTCGCGTCAAGTTCTCATGAAATCTCAAGAAAACGGTAAGTACTTCAGTTTCTTTTTTAGTATTTATTTTGCATCTTCAGAATGTACGCTATAGTGGAACACACCAATTTTACCAAAAGTACACCCAAAATTTCTCTTTTACAGAATACAATTTGTAAATAATACCATCATCAATAGACATCGCACCCCATTAAGAGATACCAAAATCAACGAATCAACACAACCCCACCAGATAATGCCAACAACAACATATCCTCATGCACCCCTTTCAATTATAGGTGGACATTTCCATCATGTCAACCTAATTACCTAAGTCAACTTAGGACTTTAATAAGTTTCTTAATACATTTCATCGACAATATCATTTATTTAAGATTGAAACCTCAAACCCCACAATTTCCATCTTAAGTCTCTACTGAAGAGGTAACTCCTACTATGGCTCAACTATAACCTACTTAGCATTGATTTAGGATCTCATACAACTCTAAAGTCCACCACCATCACTACCCTTATTTATACTCTTCTATCACACTTTTGAATCCTCAACTTCTACATCCTCAGAACATTATCTTAACAATGTCTATTCATCATAATTTCCTTGAATCCATCTGCCAAAAATCGTCCAGCCTCCAACTCACTCTCCCCAACATGAAACCCTCAAACCATCAATCTTTCATCACACTGTAAAATTAACAAACTCTTCATCAACTTCACCCTACTACATCATAGGTACAACTCTATCTATTGGTACTGATGGCAATATTTATGAGTACTCTCAATCCACTTCAAGGACCTTCAGTATCCTATTCTCAAACATCAGCTCACTGACAAAAGCTATCAGTCCTATTTTCAAAGTCAACTGATCATCAAAACCTCATTTTTCAAATAATCAAGTAACACTTTTCACCAATGGGGACAACTCTGAACCACATCAACTCCATCTGTCAATGTTCCCATTGTGACTCGCTAAAGCCACCATTCACTCAATCTCATCATCATTAATTTCCACAAAAAGTGGCACCAAAACCCTCTATTTGAGTGTCTGACAATCATCAACCCTGCCACTCAATGACTTACCATCACTTCCTACTCCTCAACAAGACACTAAGAAGTCTTACCACAACTACACAATTGACAATAATTAACTTGTGTTCATATGCTCTACATACATAATTTACAGCAGGAAAATTCATCTCATAGTTCAGGAAAATCTCAATCATTTAAGACACTAACAGTCTAACACATGGGGCACACCAAATTTCTGGTTCACAACTTATATGTCATGCAAACACAACAAATCAGTAACTCACACACAAGATCTTAAATCACCAAATAACCTTAACTATTCAAATCCTTCTGATTATACCTGACATTTGTACTGATACTTAGGCAGCTAACCTCACCGAAATTCGTAGAACTCTTTAGATTTCACCCATTACTTCCAACGACTTTAAATTGCATGTATGTTGCCAAGTATTAAACGAACAACATAAACTCCTATTGTTGATGCCCAAAAGACAACTGTAACATAATAGATTGTTTGATTTCCAAAGACGACAATTACATAGGAATATATAAAGAACACCTAAACCCTAATGGCTAAACCCTAAAGGGCTTGGGCCTAAACCCTAATCACTAACATCCCCCCGCAGTTTGATCGGGAGGGGACGATTAAACTGGAAAAATAAACAAAAAGATAAAACATAAAAACTAGATGAAGATAGTGGCAGCTGCGGTGGTAGAGCTCTGACGATGGCGGCTAACATCAACTGCTTGTCGGAGAAGAAGAGAGAAGAATAGGCAACCAAGAGCGATTTTGTTGTTGAAGAGAAGAGAGGCCAGGACGATGACGATCATGTAACCGACGGCAGAGGAGTCCGGAGAAAGGCATCAAGAAAGAAAGAGGGCTTGAGATGCGGCGGACGGAGCCAATTCCGGCGAGATCGGCGACTGCAATGTTGATAGAGAAAGAGACGATTGTAGATCAGAGACTGCTCGGTGGAGAAGGTGCCATCGGAGAGAGGCAGCTGCAACATCAGAAGGGGCTAAATCAGAAAAAAGATCTGAAGAAGTGGCCAGCCGAGGAGGAGGCGGAAGGTGAGGAGGCATATGTCATCTGTGAAGGAGGTAGAAGTAGACGAGACAATAGAAGAAGCCGATGAAAGGGCTCTGGTTTGGTGCCACCAGCTGTTTTATTATTTAGGTGACGAAGAGAAGAAACGGAAAAATAAGGAACATAATGAAGGCACCTCCAACGACTATGAGAAAATGTCGTCGGAGGTGGACGGCGGCGACTACGGGTTGTGGTCAGCAGTAGGAATATATAAAGAACACCTAAACCCTAATTGTTTGATTTCCAAAGACGACAATTACATAGGAATATATAAAGAACACCTAAACCCTAATGGCTAAACCCTAAAGGGCTTGGGCCTAAACCCTAATCACTAACAACAACCCAACTCCATAACATGTCAACCCAACTTCATTGATCATTTTGAATCTCCGTAACATCACCATTTGGTTCATCGTTAAGACACCAAAAAACTTTGATTTTCTTTATTGAAATCTCGGTCCTCCCAAAATTGTCAAGTTATCAACTTAATTACTCTGAGACACTACACTGACTAAGGCTATGTTGGCGGACTAGCTGAAAAGCTAGCTGTTAAATAAAAAGCTAGCTAATAAAAAAAACGTTTGGTAAAACTAGCTGAAAAGCTAGCTGAAATATATAAAATTACATAAAAAGACATGTAAGAGTATGTGTTTCTATAAATAATTAAGGGGTGTATTTGGAAAATTTTAAAAAAGCTCCTAAAAAGCTAGTCTAAGTAGCTTTTCAAAAAGCTAGCTTATAAGCTACTTTTTGGCTTACCAAACACAACAACATAAAAAAGCTTGAAAAATAAGCTAGCTTATCAGCTAGCTGTGGCGCTCGCCACAGCCTAAAGGGTATATGGCTTAGCGGTATATGTTGGAAATTTAATTAATGGGTAAAATGCAAGTCAACAAGTTTCCCATTGTCCCACATTGGTGGGAAGAAGAAAGTTTTGTGGGTGTCTAAGGCTTTCCTTGCCTTAACCTTCAAATGCTTTAGTGGAGGTTGAGGGATGGGCCAAGCCCACACGCACCTAGTCGGGCCGAGGGGACGTGTGGTTCATAAAATGACGCAATTTAGGCGCACTTTGCACTTCATATCGGGATCTGAGGAGCTTTTATTTTTTGCAAAGTTCGGTCCGATTGGGTTGGACAGACCCGGTCAACGTGTTGTTCACACTTTCACTTTGGATGAGCATCCAGATAACGATGCTAACTCACTGGATTTTATCTAGTTTTGATAGCTTGTGAGAGATGAGAGGCCAGGTGTCGTCATTACACCTGATTTTTTTGACTTATAGGCTTTTCGGTTTAGTATAAATAGTTCCTCTCAGGTCTTATTTATTCCACACTTCCAATCCCACTACAACACAGATTTCTTCGATCTGTTTCTGATTATCCTCTTCGCGTTTATCAAATCTTCCATTGTTGTTTGAATAGACGATAACTACATTAAATAATGGGGTTCTATGTTGCAACTTACAACAACTAGAGTGCGTAAAAACCTTTAAGGACATGATTCATTTTGTGTGGGTACCAATCAAAATCTGCAATCTTTAGGTTGGTTTTACTTTATCTGTAACGTCTTTTATTTCACCCGACAAAGTGACAGTCTAATTCTACCTTACATTAAATACTGATCGTGAATGATCAAACTGATTTCTGAACGAAACTTGGTAATTAAATAATAGTAAAATTTATTATTTGTGAGTTATAATCAACATATAATTTTCAATATTATTATCAGTTAGTTTGTTTGCTTTGGACATCTCTAGTGTTTCGGTATTAGCGCACATTACTAATCACTGGTTTGTTTATCTATCATCCAATAGGTTAAGGGTTCAATGCTCGTAGTGGACAATAGTGTAGATTTAGGAGTAGGATTAGTGAGTGTGTGAGTTTGTCGTTCTAAAAAATAGGACACTGAAAGCATAATGATAATCTCAGTTTCGCAAACACAATTACTTGACCCGTACAATGATAAGCTCAGTTTCCCAAATACAGTTAATTGAACTATATAAAATTCTAAGGATGTTACAGATCGATGGCATAACATGTGTACGATGGTGGAAATTCCATGTATTGCATTTTTTTCTATATGTTGATTTATCTTCTTGTTATTATTACTCGTATTAAACTCACTTGGTCTTCAGGCTTATGTATTGTGCATGTGTGATTATACATCTCAGGTGCAGACCGGATTAATAAGATAATAACAAGGTATTGTGTTGGTATGAATACTCCTTAGGAGAAATAAATTTTGGATATTAACATGTATGGAAAAAAAACATATGGATGCCAATGCCATTTTTGGATTTTGGATGCTAATCTTTGGTATAGTAGATGTATGGTTGATAACACTTGATGTTACCGCTAGATTTGATTTTGTATTCCAGCATATAAAACTTGGTTCCTTGGATGACATGTGGATGAAGTTCTTTAAGTAGATATTTGTTAAAAATTCAAGTGATACAAGTTCATGAATTACATTTTCTCAACTAGGATGCCGTGAAAATATCAATGAACTCCATTTCGTTGAATGCAACAAAGAAATATAGATAGCAATGTCTAGACATATGGACTCATGCTTAATCAAACATGAAGATGTTTAGTACAGGTCCCACTGAATATTGATAACACATTTCATGCTTCCAAGATCTTTTGTTGATGGAGATATATCTCAGCTTTGTGAAACATGATTAAATTCACATATTGAGTTCATATAACTCAAGAAAGAGAGAAAATTGTCCGTACAAGAGACAAACCTATACCAACTCATTAGAATGGCTTGGCTAACAGTTAATCTCCCGAAGCATTTGGCTCTATTCTATTTCTATTGGGTTGAAGTGTAGTTGGAAGAATATTTCCTCCATTTCGTTTTTTTTTTTTGGATTTATAACAAGGTCTTCGCAGAACGTGTGATGCATAAGCAAAGGGTCTATTTCAATGCGACCATGGATATTAAGCCACCTCCTAAAATGTGTTTCCTGAAAGGAACATCATATCTCACACGAGTTTGTAGCTTCACATAATAGTCACACCAAGTTTGGGTCTGTGTAACTACTAGATTTCTCCAACATTTTATACACAAAATACGCATAAACTTTTTTCAAATATTATACATCAAAACATTGGATAAGTTAGGTATTTACAAACAAAAGTAATATAAACAGCACACACTAAAACTACACCCAAGATTTGTCTGGTGTTACAAAGAGGTTTACAAAAGACACTATACTTTTATCTAAATATCTTTTACTTCTCCATGGCTGTTATCCCATTGCCTTGATTTGTATTTCCTACTTAACATAATCCACACTCAAAAAATAAGCACTAGCTTAGTGATTTATTTAACTATAACATTTCTAAACAATTTTTAAAAACAACTCAACAATTATAAAATTTTATCAACGAGGCTTTCCATTTTATTTAGAACTTATCATCTTACTCATATATGACTTCATTAACATTAATCTTAACATCAAACTCAACATCAATCTCTTGAGACAATTTCATCAATATAGGCTCATACTCTATATAAGTCATATTAATGTACTCTTTATGATACTCCAAAACCCATTTATAACATTAATGTGAATATGCCATTCTAATTTGCATAACACAATTTATCTCATGAGTTAAAGTTAAACTACTCATCTTGATTAGGCTAATTAGAGCTTGTTCCAATCCCGTGGAATCCCGTCCCAACCCTTGCTTAACCGAAACCTACTCATAAGTAAATTTTTTTAGGTGTTATGACTTATTCGAAATCAATAACACCATATATAGCTCCATAATACTCAATTATGTGCAACACAAGTTTCAAGTACTCAATTCATCCATATATGTAGGGGTGTAAACGAGTCGAGCCGAGCCCGAGCCTAACCAAGCTCGAGCTCGGCTCATTTAATTTTGAAGAAGCTCGAGCTCGAGCTCGATTCGAGCCTTAAAATGAAGCTCGAGCTCGGCTCGTGAACAATTTAGTGAGCTCGCGAGCCTAAACGAGCTTAAACAAGCCTATACACACACACACAAACACACACACACACACACATATATATATATATATATATATATATATATATATATATATATATATATATATATATATATATAGGCTCGTTTAGGCTCATTTAGGCTTGCGAGCCCACTAACTGAAGCTCGGCTCGAGCTCGTTTAATAAACGAGCCTCATATTTAGGCTCGAGCTCGGCTCGGGCTCGTTTAATTCGATCTCGAGTCGAGCTTTTAACGAGTCAATCTCGAGTAGCTCGCGAGTAGCTCGGCTCACTTACACCCCTACATATATGTAACGCCCGTGTTTCTAGGCTAGACATTAATGATGATGTAATAGTCTAGGCCAACATTTGTAACTTGTCTTGAAATAATAAGATGTATTATTTGATTATTATGTGTTTTATACTTAATTATTATGATTTAATAAGTTCAGGATAAAAATAAGCGTCGAAAATAAATGTTAGATGAAGCCGATATCTATGAAGAAAGTTGTAGTGGTTGAAACAAAGATTCCGGAGATATAAAGAATACCGAAATCCGAGTTATAACGGAGAAGTTATGACCTGTCGAAGTTTCGCGACAGACTCGACACGCCGCTGTGTGACGTAAAAAGTGAATTTACGATAAAGTGCTTTTTAGCATTAGTGATCTAAACGAAAGTCGTAGTGTTCGTTAAACCGAGAGCGTGCATAAAAAGAACGCCCAAATCTGACTTCGTATGAGGAAGTTATGATTTTTCTAAGTTTCGGCTTAGTAGTATGCAGCCCGAAACTCGAATTTTAGATCGAGTGATTTTTAGCTGAAACAACCTAAACAAGAATCAAAGATCTTGTTGATAGTAGTTCAACGATAAAAAGACAGACAAAAACGGACGTCGGATGAAGAAGTTATGAATTTTTAACGGATTTTTCCTGTCCCGACCTGTTAAAAATATAACTTTAAAATTTAAATCAAAATTAACCGACGGAGTCTAAACGAAAGTTGTAGAGCATAATTTCATCTACGCGTGGATATAAATAACGTCAAAAACGGAGTTTGTATGCTTAAGTTACGAATTTTTGAAGTTTTGGGCACAAACTTCGAGGTTGGCCCGAAGGAGTACACCCAACGTACATAAAGATTACGCCCAACATACTTCGCACATTTTCGATCCGGAGTCAGCCACGTCGCCCTACTCCTTCGCATGATGGACACATAGCGTAGCCTTGACGCGCCCGAGCTGATCCACTCCTACGCCCAGCGTACGAAGGCGTACGCCCAGCGAAGAGCTCTGCGAGGCAGTACGCCCCACGTACCAGGAAGTTACGCCCCGCGTATTAAGGAGCTTCGATCACTATAAATAGGATGCGAGGCTTTCCGGAAATGGTTGCTAATTCTCTCTTTCTTTCACTCTAAAACACCTCTCTAGCCACTCTAAACCACCCCAAAGTCTAGGGAACATCCCTAATACCCCGAAGCAAGTCCCGAAGCCCCGAAGTCCCCGAGAAAATAAATTTTTCGAGACGAAACTCTGCCCGCGTGAAGCTTGGTTTTTGAGAAAACATCCCGGTTTCATCGAAAAAGATTGTTTTAAGGGACGAAGTGTTGTCCAATCACCGTCTTATCATGTGAGTGTATAGTCACTTTCATCTTACACATAGATATGAAGTATTTTATATAAAATACGTGCTATGTGTATATATGTTGATTGTTTATTTGAAATGGATGTTGAATGAATGTTTTATACAGGTTTTAAACTGTATATGTATTCTTATCTACAAATATGTTGGGTATAACATGGGTAGATGAAATAGTTGATATGTGATGAAACAAAATAATGAGAGGTCACGATGTTGACGATGTTCCAGTCATCTAGCGGAATATATATGACGATCACGGATTTTTGTAGACAGTCCAGTGGGACGTTAATAGGCTCGTAAACTGTAGATGTTTTCCGAAAGTACGGATTAGACTTAGTCAATTGTCCTTAGTCCGAGAGTATGGATAGGACGTAGTTATTTGTTATTAATCTGGGAGTATGGATTAAGACATAGTTATTTGTTATTAATCTGGGAGTATGGATTAAGACATAGTTATTTGTTATTAATCTGGGAGTATGGATTAAGACATAGTTATTTGTTATTAACCTGGGAGTATGGATTAAGACATAGTTATTTGTTATTAATCCGGGAGTATGGATTAAGACAATAGTTATTTATATTTAATTTGGGAGTATGGATTAAGACATAGTTAATTGTCCCTAGTCCGAGAGTATGGAATGGGTACAGTTATTGATCCGGGAGTATGGATCAGGCATACCCAATTCAGGAGTATGGATTAGGTAAAGAGGTAAATTTTAGATCCGGGAGTATGGATTAGGTAAAGAAGTTGATTTCAGATCTGAGAGTATAGATCGTGTCGTTGTGAGGATTCTTAGGGTGGAACCTTAAGAAACTGCAGCAGTATCCCTTAAGCAGTGTTGTTACCCCGATGATGATCCTTAGACTAGGTCCCTTATGATAGGTGTTTAGGGACGTAAAGTGAGGATAACGGGAACGGGTAATCAAGGTTATTATTGGTTGATGAAATTAATAAATTTATTGTTGATTGATGAAAATTAATAAATTTATTTATTGTGGGTTGAAAATCCTATATGCTCACCAGGCTCCTAAGCCTGACCCACTCAGCTTTTTATATTACAGGTAATGGAACAAGAGCATAGTTGGACGATGACGAGGGATTTTGGATTATAGTCCAGTAGATATAAATAACTGTTGTAAGGCCTATATGGTATTGTTTATGTGTAGCATCCGGTTCCTAGTACGTATTTAAATTCAAGTAATTTTGTATTTTACACTGGGACTCGGCGAGTTGGAGGCCCAACTCGTCGAGTAGAATCGACATTATGCGGGGGTTTTAGTGATCTACTCGACGAGTCGGGGGACCGACTCGACGAGTAGAAGCTGTCTGGATGAAACCCTAATATATAGGGTTTGCACCCTATTTAAACAACAGAGCCGGTCCTGAAAAAGTAAATATTCTCAAAGGCCCAGGACGAACAAGAAAAAAAGGCCCTTATCTTTATTATAATTTTTTATTTTTAAATAAAAATATATAATGAAAAAAATTGGGCCCTGTGCAGCTGCCCACTTTGCCCCCCCCCCCCCTCAAAGCCCCCCATGTTAAACAACTTAACTCGTCCCAAACCAGCCTCCATCGTCCCTCTCACTTCTAGAAGACCCTAACTCGAAAC